CCACCATGAAGAAGAGCCCTGCCGCCGCCTTCCTGGCAAGCCGCACGGCCATGCCGACGGCCTGGTCCAGCGGCGGCGCAGCTGGTGAGGGACGCGGGGGCTCAATTGACACTCACGACTAGTAGGACTGGCTAAGAAATTTTGACATATCATGGTAATGACATGAACCAAACACACGCATGTAAAAGTGCCACTGCCTAATTCAGTGATATTTGGCTTCCATTTGGTTCTCATCCAAGTAGACCGGCCAACAAAAAAAATGGCACCGCCCGCTGGCCTGATTGATTTGCGTTTCTATGTTCAGCGTGACTCGGGAGCTAGGTTCTTACAGGCCAGGCCCACTCCATACAAGTTGGAAGGGCAGGTGATTGGTTCCTGTACGCATACAACCTAACTGCAATGAGGATGCATTTGTTTGGTTGCCAAACTCTGCTGCCGCTCCTAGTTCTTTTCTAGCCGTGCGCTTCACTCTGCATCATGCATCATGCGATCCAGGCCTGAAGGAACGAGAAGCCTGGCTGGAGGGCTGGTTTTGCTCTGAGCAAGGTCAATAATAAAGTCAAGTATAAGTCAAGTTATAAGGACCAAATTATATAATACTCTTTTTGCTCATTTTTAAGCCGTCAAAAGGAGCGGTAGGAAGCTGCTACTTTGAGCTTCACCGTGCATGGCCAACCAGCAAACAGGTGAAACGTTTCCGTTAGAAACGATTCCGAGTGATTCACACTTTTATTCCTACGAACGTGAAACGGTGAAAACCTAATTTCGCAGTGATTCTATTTTCGTAGCCTAGCGGTCTAATCATTCTAATTCGCCATCCGAAATATTTCTTGAGAAAATCTAAATCTAAAACGTTTTTACGAGAATCTAAATCTCTACCAAATGGGCCCTAATAATATGTTTGGTAGTGATCCATATTCTTGTAGAAACATTTTAGATCCAAATTCTTTCAAGAAATGTTTCAGATAATGAAACATAATCATTTCATGGAACAATTTAGCTAGCTTGTTAGATTCTTAAAACTAGAACTAGAACAAGGAGACACCAGATTTTGGGTCTTTCACGGCCTAGTACAAAAATGAGAATCGGTTAAGTTATTCCGCCTAAAACAATGAAACATTTATCTCTTTATTATGATGTTTGGTAGCGATTCTAATGATTCTAAGGAGAATCTAAATATTTTTCTATTTCATTTCTTGCTGTTCTATTCACTTGGCCTGCTGACGCGCAAGCTCCCCCCTTTGATGCTCGAGCTCTGCCTTGGCGGCTTCCAGGTCCGCCTACCGAGCGTGCAAGCGAGCTGCCTTCTCTCGAAGGTACTCCGCATGGCTACGGGGATCTAGTCTGGCGGCATGAGCTTGGGGGCATCGTCGACGGGGTTGTCGCCGTCGATGTGGAAGCACTCGCGCGATGAAGAGTAGTAGTCGACGTCGTCGGAGTCGTACTCCAAGCCGTTCCCCGAAAGGATTTCGAGGAAGACACCCAGCAAGGGGACGTCGGTCCTCGCCGCGCCGAAGAGGATGGCGCCTCCTAGCTGATGAGGTGCTCTAGCTCCAGCTGGAAGGACGCCGCAGCGTTCTGAATCTCAAATGGCAGGTCAGGAAGGTAGTACCAGAAGCGCTCAGGCGGCGGAAGCACCTCACCAGTGGCAATCTAGTGGTGGACGTTGGCCAGCATGTAGAACATCTAGCGACGTTCCGAGACGGCGATGGGGTTCAGGCCTAGATTGTTCCAAATCTGCCTGGCCAAGACCTCGAGATCTGCTCTCAAGAGGCCCGGAGGAGAGGACAGCCCGAGGGACTCATTGTCCACCGGCGTGGCCTCCTCAAGCGAGTGAAGCTCGCCGTAGCAGTCGGCAACGTAGGCCAGGCTCCCAAAGTTGAGGACCCAGCCGGGGGCGAAGGCACCGGCTGTGGTGAACTCACCGAGGAGGACGTCGTTTGGGGCAGCGCCTCTTGCTCTGGCGACGAGGCAAGTGGCTCTAGCCACCGTAGAGCCAGTATCACACTTACGCGCTCCCCTACCTGGCACGCCAGCTGTCGCGGGGTCAAAACCGCGACAAGCATTGTTGTTCTGTCGGGTGTCATTGAGTGTGAGGTCTCCGGTAGATCGGGTGGACTCAAGAACACAGAACTCAAAGATCACGAAGGGACATAGAGGTTTATCCTGGTTCGGGCTATCAGGGCCCTACGTCCAACAGTTTGAGGATCTTTGCATTCAAAAGCACCCAAATTAGGGGGTTATAACGGAGTGTGAGAGAGATTTGGTAGGGGATCACTCGGTGCTGATCCTTGACTCGTCACTTCGTCAGCAATGAGGTCTCTTCGTCGGAGAGGAGGAAGACGATGGAAAGGGTGGAGGAGCTCTCGGTACTCCTCTCGGGGTGGCTCTGCTCTTGGTGCAGAGCTCGAGCTGTTCGGTCGTGAGGACAGGAATGATCTATTCTATTCTGTTCGTTCTCTCCCCTCTGTAGGATCCGACCTTCCTTTATATATCGATATCGAGGTAAGTCGGGTACATGGCGGTTTGGGGAGTCAGTCTATGATCTATGTGCGCCGAAGTCCAGGAGAGTCTTGCAGCGGCGCGGATGGACTTTGAAGTTGTCGTGGAGCCAGAGAAACCCTGGGCGTTGCTCGGCTGCTCTGCTCTGACGCTCCGATTGTCAGGCTTTGTCGGCTTGGACCAGCCTCCACCAAGTGCACCTTCTGAAGGCTTCTTGGTGGTGACGGCATTGGGCTTGAGGGGCTGACGAGCGGGCCCAGGAGCCCCCAAGCCCTGAAGTCGTCAGAGGAGGATTTGTCCCCTTGTGTCACGTCCCGTGCGTGACCCTATCAGAGGAGTGGTTGACAGCGCCGCGCCACCTGTGCTGCGCTGGGGAGCCCTCGAGCCCTGAGCGCTCGGGGCGCTTGCTTCCAGCCCGGGCCTTGGCTAGCACCGAAGGCCGAGGCCAAGGACCGGGCTCAGACTCCTGTCAATCGAGAGCCTGAGGCTCGGGCGAGCTCCTGAGCCCCGAGCAGAGGCAAAGGGCGTGCTCAGGCTCGGTCCAGTCCTTGGGCGGAAGGTGCATGCGAGTGCACCTGGGGGTCCTTCGGTCGGGAATTCTTATCTCAGGAGTTTAAGATACCTTTGTGTTAGGATCTCGTCAACCTGCAACAAAAAACTCAAAAGAGGTAGATTAGTGAAATCCAAGGATGCAGCAGGTCTAAGTCTGGTGCGGGTAGAGCAAATACTCGCCCGCTGTAAGGCCCGCATTTTATGACACTCGCCTTCGTAACACCCTACGGGTTAAGTTTTGCACAAGCGCCCACACCCGCAGGTTTTGCACACATCAGGTGGGTAAATGACGCAAGTAATATCATTAAGATTGCATTAGTAAGTACAGATTGTTGAAAACAAATAACTATTCCTATCTTCATATCACACGTGGTTATCTAGCACGTAGCTACCAATTAATTATGCATATTCTTAAAATTGACTAAAATTTTTTACACATAGATACCAATTATGCCTGAACCGTGATTAGAGGCTCTTGGTGGATTTCAACTCTAGCCTACCCTAACTTACTTGGGACTGATAGGCTTTGTTATTGTTGTATAGATACCAATCATGGTATTAGCATTAGACGCGACCATACAAGATACATGGTTACATAGAACGACCCTTATATATTTTGAGCCTTGATAGATATCCATATGCAGGGGAGGATGCATGTTCATGGTAGGGGTGCGGCCGCACCCACGAAAAATCAGAAAAACAATGGTTATATTTAATTTTTCACCATACACGCTCAATAAAAATCTATGTACCTAAAGACTATCGCACCACCCTCGAATTTGTTAGGGCTCCACCCCTATCCCCATGTGTGATTTGACACCCACATCCTAAATCCTGCCACCTCGACCCGTGGGTCTGATTCGCATCCACCTACCCACAGGTGCAGCACCCGCAGGTAACCGCAGGTCTGACTACCGTCCCTCGCGAAATCCCAAAAATTACAAGCACAAGTTCGACCACAAGTGCGTACAAACACGATACAATAAACAAAATTTGTTGACCGATGTTCACTCCACAAAGGAAGCTAAGTCTCTACTAATGAGCGCACTACGAGCCCGGTCTGTTTCAACTATATCCTCTTCCGAGAACACGTCCGTTGACGTGTGTTTCATTAAGAGGTCAACTCTATCCTCTCAATAAAGGTACCAAGCTTGAGTTGAAATTACTCAAATTCCCCGTAAGGGGGTGTTTGGCGGGGCTCCTCCGGAGGAGGCGAAGCCGTTTTGGCTGAAAAATGGCTCCTAAAAAACGTTTGGTATGACTCCTCCGGAGGAGCCGGAGTCAAGAAGAAGCCCTATTAAACAAGCCCTAGATGTGAAGGTCTAAATGTGAGCGGTACAAACTTCCCAGGGAGCTTAACGGTCATGGGCAATGCTAGCTGACTGCGAGCTCGTGGCTCCAAAAGTAACAAACGCTAACCATTATCTCGAGGGAGCCTCCAAAATACTTTTAAAGAAAATGAGAACGAAGCTTACACTTTGTTTTTTCATAGGCTCCGATCCCAGAGTCTATAGGAGGAGCAGGGTTCGAAAATTTTCTCGACCTATGTAATGATTTTCTTCAAAACAAAATGCCTAGAGATGTCTTATCCCCGTAGGTCAAGTTTTTTTAAGCAGAAGAGCATAAGATATTCAGAAACAAGTAACCGGGGGGGTAAGGAGCCAACGCTCCTCGTATCGAGATCCCAAGCCAACGACTGCAAATTGTGTTGGCTTATTGAGCATGAAAGGGTCCACATGTAAGTGTGTGAAGAGAATACATAAAAACCAATGCAGTGTCTTAAGAAGAAGGGTAGAAGATATTCAGAAACAAGTAATTGGGTAAGGAGTGTCGATTTGATCTCGTCGCCAGCAACGGATGTGATAGGTGGTATCAGAGACAACTATCCTCGGTGTGGGTACCGGCAGCGTGCCATGGCTGAAATTTTCGGTGCCGTGCGGTGGTAGATGGCAGTGCATCACCGACCTACATATCGGCTTGATTCGGCGTGGGCGATTGGGGATTTTGGATTATCAAAGGCTACCCTCCTCATCGAGGGTGACAGTGGACTGGGAGTTCTTGACGGAACAGGCAGCGGCAAACTCGATGGCACAGGTGGCGATGGTCTCAGATTTCTCAATGGCTTGGTGGCAATGGAGGTGAAGGTGACAGCATCAGCTTCGTTCAGGAATCTATGGACCACCATGGCCCAGGTGTGGCTTGAGCAAGTGGTTTCTAGGATATCGGTTGTGTTTGAGAATGCCTATGAGGTGTTCAAGCAAATGCCCCCACGGCGACACAAGCAAAGCAAATCACGTTCTGGGCTGCAGGGGCATCTTGAGGAGCTGCACAAGGATGAGGAGCTCTGCATGGCCTAAACTTGCAAGTGGTGAGAAAAGCATTCTAGTTGCCTGAGCCGGCTAATGATCATATGTTCTCAAATCAACAACACCCAGTCTCTTCAACTGGGTAGGGGTGTTGCATACGAGTTGTTTGTTGAAATCTCTCTTGAGAAGGTGGCAGCGAAAGCAAAGCATAGAGACAATGTTGTACAAGTGCTTCTTGATGAAATGACTTGTGAGCATTTGGTGTGGGACAACATGTCAACCTTGCTGTGTATGAAGGAATACTGCAGCAGTTAGCATTGGGCAAAGAGTACATGAATGTTCCACTAAAGGTTGGCATAGATTCTAGGGATGGATTGTCCGGTTAAATGCCCAGTGAAATTGTGTGGACTGAGCACATCCTATATAATATTGAGACACATGGTAGTTTACTACAGCAGCAAGCCATAGGCGCAAAGGATTATAGAGAATGAGAAGAAAAATTTGATGGGTGAAGCTTATTGAAGATGACATGGCTCGCTGTTATTGGTAGTTTTCAGTTATTGCAGGAGCGGCATGGATGTTGCAGACCAAATGCTTGAACATATACAGCACAAGCTAGTCGATTTCAAGGCATCGGTGCTGTCCGAGTGTGATGCCCTCAAGTTATTTGATGAAATATTTCATGTAGAGGTTGTGTGGGACGAGGAGTCATTGCACTGCTTTGATTTGCATGGTGGTTATCTGCAACAAGTCACTCAATTTGGAGAGTATTTGGTAGATCGAAACAGCAAACAGAAGGCCAAGGCAGCCATGGAAGATCATATCATTATTGATAGAGATACTCCCTTTATCTTGGTCCTTTGCATGGATCCAGTGGATGTGATGCCAACAAATTTTGGTGTGCATGAGGAACTGACACCTCCAATTCTGACATATGACAGTTTATGCAGTAATAAGCCTTTGGTAAAGCATATCTGGATGATGAGAAGAACAAGCTAATTGTTCGGCTAGGTGATGATAAGGTGCTTACTCATGTTGGCGATTCATCACAATATCCGGAGGTTGGTATGGTTGCTGCAAATCATGGGTTCAATAAGTTACTGAAAGAAGTTGGTGCTGGTTTTGGCATCGATGTTGCGCTCTGCTGAGTCTGGCAGCTCACTTCTCCCCACAAATATCTTAACCAACACAGTACGGATAATTTCGTCCTTGTATTTTATGAAGCACGTGCTGGCCAGGAGATAAAATGTGACCATGCGAACCTGGTAGCCTTTGATGAAAAGAGGAAAAAGGGTAGTGCTTGACATGTGGTAGCTGAATTGGCACCATCGCCCAAGAAACAGTGATATGGAAGTGGTTCATTTTTTTTTCTGACAAAAAACTTCATGGAATCGAAGTGGTTTTAGTCCTTGTAGACGTGAGAAAAGGTTTTTCAGTGCCTATTCTGATATTTTTAATCAAAAAGTTTTTAAATCTGCATTATTGGAAGATATTTAGAAACAAGTAATCGAGCAAGGGGCCAACACTCCTCGTATCGAGATCCCTCTCTTTTTCCTCTAGTTTTACTCACGTCCACAATTTGATCTCGTTGCCAGCAACGGTCGTGACATAGCCATAGGGCATCCTCAATGCCATCTTGACATTCTCATGGACCGCTGCCACCAAAGTAGATTTGAATCTTCACCATTACAAACAGCATCGCACGGTCGTGGTGCCTACTCACCGAGTAGACATCACATCTATGACCACATGAGAGGGAAAATGAATCCATGGAAGCTCAAGGGTGTGGCATCACTACTGAAGCTCGTAGCAACATATTTTGAACTAATTTACATGGTGCCCTCAAAGAAAAAATAAATTTCTGGCAGAGGCAAAGCTTGTTGGGTGTCCGCAGGCCTATGGTTACTGGACAGACACACTCCTATTTGGGCTCAAACACTAAACTTCTATGCAAACTGTATGTTGTTTTGCAATCCACAAAAACGATGCATTTGTGTTATTTATTAAATGCATGGCATGCATGCTATGCTGTGATGTATTTGGGTCCTTACGTTTTCTTAGATTATAAATGGCACTGAAATGCTGAAGCAATGGTGATCGACCATGTGAGCTTATCTCTGTGTGTGTCCTATGATGGTCTGTCGCTGATACTAACAAGCTAATAAAAGGATAAGTTCAAGATGGATGTGCATTAAAAGTTCGTACCTCTAGTTTATCTTCTTTTGCCCTGTGGCCCACTGGAAGTATTCGCAAATCCTCGGTTAAGCTGAGACACTGCTGAATGTTCTCCGGTGATACAAAATCCAGAGCAATCTTGGTGCAAGACTGCATTCATTACACATTCAGCCAGAACATGTCAGAATTAAGTAGAATTCTCCTAGCCCTCGTCTATCTGCTGCATTTGAAACTTGGGATACGTAAGAGTGCATTAGCAAGCTTACCTTTAGATTCCGTACTTGATGAGGACACCCAGCAGGTATAAAAACTGCATCTCCAAGTCTTTGCACAAAGGTCCATGGCTCGATTCCTACAACAGCACATCAAAATTTTGAGTACGGAACACTCAACTACTCACACCAAAGGATTTATAAACACGAATAGATGGGCCAACTCACCATATTCCTTCTTGAGCTCCCTCTTGTGTTTGTTGGTCAGATAGAATTTTTCCTCATGTACAGGGTTAAATATCTGCATTAAAAACAAGTGTCACAAAGATATAAACGTCTATGGTTTTTACCAAGCTCATTCATAGATAAGATTAAGATTAACCTTTTCAACTGGACAACAGTACATATGGCGAAATTCTTTGGAATGTTTTATGAGGTACTCTTTCAGCTTTCCAACATCCTCCCGCCTGAAAATATCCCATAGTGCACCTGCTTCATCATCCTCGCAGGAAACTGATGATATATGAGCATGCTCCATGCTTGTTTCATTTCCATCTATTGATGAATTCCCCAAACATTTCTTTTTATCCTGTTCTGCATGCCTTATTTTCAAATTTCTTATCCCCTTTTTTTGTTCTTCAGAAGGCTCAACTTCGGCAATATGCATCAAAACATTAACCTAACGATGGCCAAAATTATATTAGAGTTAAAGAAAAGAAGAGCACAACAAGATGCTATGCATTCTCTATGGATAGCATAAGAGTATGCTGAAGTTCTCTTGTATCATCAACCAATGGTGAGATAGTCTCTATTGGGGTTACTGTTGGATCCATAGAATTCTCTGATGTAAGTCACCAGGAAAAAAGGTACAATTGGAAAGATTTTTTTTCTGAACAAAGAAAAAAAATCAAGGACTTCATGGACACAGTTCAGTATAATATAATTATGTCCACTAGGTGCGTAAGTTGTTCTCAGTTATTTACTTACCGCATCAGACAAATCACAATGAAGCTTTGTAACAGAATCTCCTCTAATGAGTTCCTGTGCATAGCCATAAGCTATAAATGATTTTGGGCCCATGTCAAGCTTTAAGATGTCACCAGGAAGCAATGCAGAGACATTTAGCAAACCAGATTTCAAATTTGTGTAAGGTTGAAAAGGCAAAGAATTGATGTATGTCGTTCCGTGGGAAGGCAAAATATTTTCAAAATGGTCTGAAGTAGGCCAATCCTTCAATTTAAGCATTTCAGGCCAACCATTAAGATACATCCGACCATGATAATACCCATTGAAAAAGTCCTCAGCGCATATCTCAACCTGCATATATAAACAGATATAAGATTTCTAACTTAATCATTTTACACTGAAAATAAAAGACCGCACTGGTCAGAGTCTATCAGTCCACTAATTCAGCATCGATATAAAGAATCAAACTGCATAGAAGTATAACATAGTTTTACGGTCATAGGCATGTATTTTACTAACCTCACAGCAAGACATACAGTCGATGGTTTTCACAGTTTTCATCTGAGAACTAGAATTGGCACCATGTACTTCAGCCCACATTTTTTCAGGCTCCCAGCTCAATTCAGACATTTTATTTTTTTGAACGCAAAAATCTTTCATTTTATTGTGCAACCCTTGCACTATTACAGGCTCTCCTTTCACCCAGTGCTTTTGGAAGTGCTTGAGACCATCTGGCTTACCATCATCTGATATTGGACAGTATATGTAGTTATCTGTGGAGTTCTCTCTGGTGGCAGCTTTCCTTGAACTTGCATGATTAGTTGAACATGAGCATTCACATATATCTATACTGATAATATCAGAAGGTTCTATCTGGTTCCTCAGTCGCAATGCCTCCATTTCGAGCTTACTTAACCTATCTGTTTCAAAAATTTGTTTCAACTCAAGGACATGGTTACCACACCCACCAAGTTCAGATGGAGGGCAACGAATGGTCCCCCCAGGATCAGCTTCCCACTTGATAGACTTAGATTGGTAACTAGACAAACCTGTTTCTCTGTCATTTTCTGAATTATTAGGTGGCTTACAATTACCACCATGCATATAGTCAACTCCTCTACTTTTATCCTTAGGTATCAGTCCCTCCTGACAATTGATCTTAAGACAATTTCCACGGAGCTCCTTACAACAAGTGATGCATAACTCGTACGGGCAGCTTGAGCAGCTTCTATGTAGATCAAATATTGACGTTCTGCAATTGTTACTGGTTTACATGGAAAGGAGATGACAGTTTAAAGACTTACGATACCAAAAACTATAAGCAAGAAACATACAACATTATTCATAATAACTGAAAGCGTCCAGTACCAGAACACCCTCTCATCATTCCAGGAGACAGCTTTCTCAACAATCAATTCCGACAATTGCAATCCTGTTTGGAGAAAAGAAGGAGATAATATTAAAAAACAGTTCAAAGCCACAAATAACTGGTAAGTTATTTAATAAGGATCTGTTTTACCTTGAATTTTGGCTTCTGCTTCTCTTTCATCCATCTGGTCCTTGTTGAGTTGTGTCAAACATGGCAACAGGTAGTGCAACAGGTAGCTGGCATATTTGCGTTTTGTTTCAGGATCAACCTCCTCAGCCCTCACATCTGATGTATCCACCTCAGCCAACATGGCAGACACATTATTCACCCCATTTGTCGTCACAAAGGAGAGTCCAGTTGCTTCAGTACACGGTGCTGAACTGCGAGCCTGGGGTGATTTCACACCTGCAGAAGTGGGCCTCTTTTCCCTTTTAGATGATACATTGCTATTGCATTTCCTCAAGCTCTACAAGGGGGAAAAAAACATTCTCAGAACTCAGCCAACGATGATATACTTTCAGCTTATATTATAAGAGGCCACGTCTGGTAAAAAAAAAAACAAATCCTAAACCTGTGACAGAGTTCATTACGACAATCTAACAGAATGGAACAAAGAACAATGCTCTCTAAACACGAAACCACAGGAAATTCAGAAACACAATTGCTTCAAATCATGCTGAGCTGCAGATGTATTTATTTATGTACTAGAGTGGTGAACTCAGAAGGCGGTCACCTCGAGTCCAAGCTGCTTATCCTTGTTAAGGCATGGGGTACAGGTGCAGAGTCCACGGCAGAAGGGGCACTGCTCCCTAACATCATCCACTGACATCATCGTGTACCTGCAGAATCACAAAAAGTTTCCTGACGTTTTCTTCCTAGAAAGAACAGAACAGTGCGCGGTTGTGGCATCGAAGGGGTCCGCATTACCTGTTCGTGACGCAGCGGACGCAGTAGATCGTCTTGACACAGCGCTGGCACCTGATCATCATCGTCTCCTCCGGACTCCTGACCGTCTTGCACTGGTGGCACGACCTCCTAGGCTTCCTCCCGCCGCCGCCTCTGCCACTGGTGCTCGGAGCCACATTCTCCCCTTCCTCCTTCCTCAACCCGTCTTCCTCGTCTTCCTCCTCCTTGACTCCCTCCGCCGCCGCCGCCGTCGCAGCAGCATTGAAGCCCTCTTCTGGCGAAGGCTCGGCTGTCCCCGGGCACGGCTCCCACGGTGACTTCCCGGGCGACGCCGGCTCGGGCGCCACCGCCGGAGCGGAGCGCCGCCGCTTGGGTCTCGGGCGTCTCCGAGGCGAGGACCTATTCCGCTTTCTCCTTCCCTTCCTCTCCATATCGAGAACCCAGTCCTCGTCCGTGCCATCCTCATCTCCCACCCCCGGGCTCTCGTCCTCCACCTCCTCATCCATCGCCCAGTCCAGCGGCCCGATCCTGAGCTCCACCGCCGTCATGGCCGGGACACGGTGGCAGGAACGCGGCGCGGCAGATCGGCCGACGACGTGAGATTTGAGAATCTATATCAGATCAGGCGCAAAGTCTACGCGGATCGGCGGAATCGGTTGTGTTGGGTCCCATTGAGCTCAGGTGGATTGGGATTTGGATGGATTTTTGGGTCATTATTTAGGTGCAAAATCGTCGTCGGCGTTGGCGTTGGCGTTGGCGTTGGGCTGCGCGCCGCGCCAGGGGCGTTGGGAAGCACGTGGAGCGAGCGCGCGCAGGCGGGGGCGAGCGAGACCGGGAAACCCACGGGCCCAAAACGGGTCGTTTCTGCGGGCGAACCGGACGTGGTCTCGACTCTCTAGTCTTTACTATTCTCGGTAGGTACGAGTAGTGGCTTGGTTGGTCTGCTGGACGGTGGCAGCTGCGGTCTGCGGACTGCGGACTGCGGCAGCCGGCAGGGAAGAGCCTCTGATCTCTCCCCGTGCGGTGTGATCCGTGTCCCTTTCCAGGGCGGCAGGGCCTGCGCGGCTACGCGCCAACGGGTGGGCGGAGTAACGGCGACGGTCCAGCGGGCTCGAGTGTCATGCAAGAACATCCCACACCATTGGGGTACGCGTGGCCTTAATCGAACCTCGAGACTTGTGAGCAGGTTGCAAGATGGGTTTTTTTTTTCAGTATCATTATAATTTTTTTTAGATACCTCGTCACTACAATTTACGTATTCAGAATAATACCATTATACTTCTTTCGTTGTATAAAATATACCACTTTATACACTTTTCGAGACCTTCTAGCCCACCTGTTGTCAACTATATTCTCGTGTTGCTCGAAATACCCCTCTACCTTTATCAATCTCCATGTGATTGACATGTGGGTCCTACCCGTCATCTTCTTCATTCCTTTCTTCCTCTTGGTGCGGTGTGAGGGCTAGGGCGCCTTCCACGTGGTCGGTCATGGTGTCACTGTGGGAGGCCGGGCTCGCGAGCGAGAGCGGCGGCGAGGCACGAGTGGTCGCGGGCCATGGCTGTCAACGTCGGGGAGAGGCCTGGCCGGAGCTCCCGCGCGGCCATGGCAGGAGTCGGGCTCACAAGCGCGAGCAGCCGGGCTCTCAAGTAGGAGCAGCGGCTCCGGCTGTGAGGCGCAAGCTGCCGCGGGTCAGCTACCAGCGTCCGGGAGAGGCCTGGCCGAAGCTCCCATGTGACCAAACACACAATCGGCCTGTTCACTGGTTGGTTTCTGGGTTGATAAACCCGGTTGGTGCTGGTTTGTTGTGAGAGAAAAAAAATGTTGGCTGGCTGATAAGCCCTGGCTGAAACCAACAAGCGGACAAGCTGAATGCTCACAAAACTTCAGCTTACTAATGCTTGTTCACTCATGTCCAAGACACATATGCCAAAGATTAGTAGCATCAGAATTAGATACTCAATTAGAAATTACAGCAGCATCACCTGTAATTGTAAAGTACAATGAAGACGGTACAAATTTAGAGATTTCAATTCACCTTTCATAACAACAAGAGAACCTTTTGACACCTTTAAGACTTCGTCTAAACCGGTGTACTTGTATCCTTTACCATCTAGAGTACTCGGAGAAATAAGATTCTTGCTCAAGTCTAGAATATGCCTCACATTAGTAAAAGTTCCAAAATGACATCATGCATCTTAATTTGAACGGATCCCATGCAACAATATCACGTAGATTGTCATCACCCAATCTAACAGAACCTCCACCTTGGAGAGAATCATATGTGACAAACCAATTTCTTTTGATGCATGTATGAAAAGAAGCAGCGGAATCGAGAATCCATTCATCACCACTATTTGCATATCCAGCAAAAGCCATAAGCATATCGCCATTGGAATTATCTGTCTTCAAAGCAACAACAGAACCATTACCTTCACCATTATATTTACCTTTGTCTTTATATGTGTCAGCTCTCTTTTTCTTGTTCTTCAATTTACAACACAGTTATAAAATAATTGTCTTTCTTGCAATACTTGCAGAATTTATCTTCCTTGCTTTAAGATTTTGAATGACCTTTGTAACCATTAGAACTTTTGCCTCTATTGCCATTGTTTGATTTTTTTTGTCCTACCACCAACAGACAGCGGAACCTTTAGAAGACACCATCTGTTTCATCTCTTTCCTTAGCATGCAAAGCCTTAGAAACTTCATCTAGCCTTAGAGTATCATGTGTAGGATCTCTGGTACACCTAGGGGGTGAATAGGCCTGTAAAAATTCAACTTAAACCGAAGTCAAATTCACCCACGGCACTGCCGCTTTGTGAGCGCGGCACTGCCGTACCTGTAGGAGAGATTAGTTCATAGTTCAAAATCAACAAAATTTAGATCTGGTATATTTCTTAGCTTCCTGCAGGGTAGTAGATCACAGACCGATAGCTGAAAGTAGTGGGAACACCACACACAAGTAGATTAGCCTCAAACTTTAGAAATCACCTCAATCAACAATATGTCATGCAAGTAATGTAAATCAAGCACAAATGACACAATGATTTATCCCGTGGTTCAGCTCGCCACTAAGGCTTGCCTACCTCCACGTTGTTGAGGTTTGCCACTAAGGCTTAGAGCTTTCTAGCCCTTCCTCGTTCTCAAGTCAAGAGACTTAACTCTTGAGATAAGGGGTGAGTTTACTAGCTTTAAGAGATGGTTACAAATCTCCTGAGGCTGCCACACAAGTTGGCAAGCTCAACGGGCAACGCTTTAGCCGGCTAGGAGCCAAACTCCACGAGTAACAAACACAACCGTCGGCCAAAACATGAACCAAATGCTCTTTAGAGTTTGGGAATCAATGGAGTTGCCCTCTAATCGAGTTTGGGACCCTTTTTCCTCAAGGTTTGATAGGAAAATCAATGAATTTGCTTGAGAGCTTGAGGTCAACAATGGAGTGTGAGAGAGAGCGCTCCTACTCTGTTTTGGGCATGCTGAAGTAAGGAAGAAGAGAGCTAGTTTATTACCGTTGGGAAGGAAGGGAAAGGTATATATACCCCCGGCCTACAACGGTCACTAAAATCGTAGATAGCCATTGGGAAGAAAAGGGAAAAGTATATATTCCACTAGCCCTCAATGGACACTGCACCTAAGAGGTCGGGTGAGATGAGGATGCGACCAAAGGGTCGGGCGAGACCGAGCTCGCGACCAAAGGGTCGGGCGATCCGGAGCCCGCAACCGAGGGGTCGGGCGAACCAGAGCCCGCGTCCAAGGAGTCGGGCGAGCCTCTCTTCAAGTGCGGCAGTGCCGCACCACGCAAGACAGCAAGGGTAATAGTGAAGTGTAGACTATCTTGGCTATGAATCTAAGGATGCTTGTAGTTGTTTGAGCACTTGGTAGCATATATTAGCTTAAGCATTGTGCCCCCTTTTATAGTATGGCTTTTCCTATACTCAAATTCAATATATAAAAGAATTTAAACCTCCTTTGAGTTTGAAGCCATCTACATTTATAATTGGAGACTCCTCCATTCTGTGTAGCATCCTTGAATATAAGTTCCTTGCTTGTCATCTCGATAAATCTCATTAGTTCTCTAATTACGTTGTCATTATCACCAAAACCCATAATTAAGGCTTGATTGCACTTTCAATCTCTCCCTTTTTGGTGATTGATGACAACCCAATTAGAGCTTACAAAAGATATAAAATAAATACTGAGACTTTTGAGCGATAGGTATAGAGTCTCCCCCTAAGTATGTGAATAGAGAATTGAATTCTCAAATTGGCATAAGAAGCCAATATTCACATTTTAGTGAAAGTGATAGGGCTCCCCCTACATCCATGCTCCTATGAGGTGCTGCATACTGTGTCAGGTATGTAAAACGTGATGCAAATGATAGTTTATGCACAACATGGTTTGCTGTTGCAGCTGGGTGCGGCACTGCCACACTTGCTGTAACAGCACAGATCAGAACAGACACCACACAACATGTGATACATATAACGATATATATTCTAGCACAACTGTATCACAAGAGACATCATAGATTAATATATGTCCATATCCCACATAAAGAGTCAAATAGTAGCATTATTTCACAATTTAGAGTTTTGAGCAACTCTCAAACTTTCACCTAACGAAGACTACCCTAAACGGATACGAACATGACTCTAGCTGCAGCAACCTCCATGACATCGAAAAAGTTATTGACCCCTCTAATTTTCTCCCCCTTTGGCATAAAGCACCAAAAGAGAAGAAAAGAAGAAAGATCAACACCTACTCGTCATCTCCCTAGATGTCTGTCCAATCAATATCATCACCTCCTGCAGCCTAGCACCTCTTGCAGCAGTCCCGGTACCACCATCACCATCATCGTCATCGGAGTCAATACGTGCACGGCTCTAATGGTGAGTAGTGGCGGTGTAGTGAGTGGAACGCCTCGGCTCCTGTCTTTGATGGTATCCCTCTAGGGTCTCATCCTAATCTCCTGCTTGTCCCTGCTCCTCCTCATCGTCCTCATCATCTGAATCTATGTCAGAGAGACTCGGAAGGTCATACTGTGGAGGAGGTGGAATAGGAGGAAGTGGTGGAAGGTCTTGTCCATACTGCTAACGCTGCTCAAGCAGTGTCTCATACGCTCTGTCAGCTGCATAGGTGCACTTGCCGAAGATTGCCTTCAACCACTTGCCAAACTTCTTCATCTTTCCTCCTCTGCGAGACCTAGAGCGGGAAGACTCAGGGATATCTACATGAGCATGAGAGCTCCCTGCTCCCTGAGTAGCTGCAGCTGGCTGGGTCTTCTCAATTTTGTAGACGGTGTGCATCCCATCCTTCAGAAAATAAAATCCAGTAATCCTCTCAATCATGAACATGAGGTAAGGGGCATAGGGTAGATCCCTCCTCCCATCCTCCATTACAAATCTCAACTCAGTCTACATGAATCTAGGGACATTGAACCTGTCCCCACCTGGAGCAAATCTAGCCAACACATTTCTTACATAGCCATTAATATCTGAGGCTGCTCCATCCTTTGGGTTGATGGTGTTCCTAATGAGGTTGTTGA